GGGGGGGGGGGTGTGTGTGCATGTGTAAGGGCATGCTCATGTTGGAGATGTGGTGCCCTTCAGTGTTCCTTTTCTTCCAGGTGCTCCTGGCATGGTCTGGGGGCCCTTCTTCCAGCTCCATGGTCTGGCAGGTCCTTGAGGTGAGTCTCCACGCCGTTCTTCTGGGCCCAGGCTACCACCCAGCCAAGCTTGAGAGTGGAGGTCTGTCACCAAGGGGCTCTTGCTTAGAACTAGGGAGAGCAGCCCTGGAGGGTTCCCAGATGTGTATTCAAGAGATACACAAGCCAAGAGCTACGTCTGGAGTACCCAATGTGTCCCTGTTTAGCACTCTGTTCATTTGCTGTACTGTAGAAAAGTAATCTCTGGGAAAAGGTGGTCTCAAGGGGCACAGTGGGGCATTAGTCAAGGTGACCCTGAAGACATGGGCCTTCTCTCATCCTAGGGGTGTGTCTGGGACAGAACATTGAAATAGAAGCAGGTATCTTGGGAGACAAAGTGGTGTCGCCCTGGCAGCTTCCTTGAGAAGTTTAAGAGAATGAGGGGGCAGGGCAAGGGATGTTGCCAGGTGAAGCAGCATTGGTGGAGAAGACAAATTCTGTCAAGGTGGGGAGGGGAGAAGAAAGAGGAGTGCAGATGAGAGATGGCATGGGGCCTGTGCACTGGTTGTGTCAGCCTGCCCATATCACAGCGCTGGGGCAGTTACAACTTCTCCCAATGGTGCGCCTTGGAAGCCCTCGCCAGGGGGTGGGACACACATGGATCTTCTGCACTCCCTGCGAGGGGTGTAGACTGGAGTGACGGGACAAGACTGCAGCCGTGGGGTGGTTTATACAGGGTCCTGGGAGGTGCCCAGGGCTCTAGCGTGGTGCATCTGCTGTCACTTTATGTCCGCTAAACCTGGCCAGATGTGAGATAAGCGCCTACTCCCCCAAATGTTTGTCCAGCACCTGGCGCTGCTCTTCCTTCTGAGGAGCAATTCCTTGTTTTTATACTTTTGTCCTGTTCCACGCTGAGCAGCCAGAGGAGCTTGGGTAGGGGGCACAGATGGTTGTGTGGATCCAGCTGCTGCTTGGGGCATTGCCAGGAGCAGGGGCAGACTTGGGGAGGGCAAGTTTTACAAGGGAGAGTGCAGGCGCCCAGGCAGGGATAGTTTAAAGTGAATCAGGTTGTACAGCTTCCCCATGTAGCCTGTGTACTACAGGCTGCCTTTTCCTGTAGGGTTCCAAGTCCAGACAGAGAATGATCTCTGTAGGGAAAGTGTCCTGTGGCTTCTGGCTGTAGTGCTGAGGACTAGTCCCTTTTCCTCTCCAGGGCCTGAGTCGAGATTCTGCCAAAAGATTGCGTTTTGTGCCAGGGGTTGTCTACATTGATGGTATGTATGGCCATTTCTCCTCTCGGGCCCCGGCCACTTGGGACAGGCCCCCTGAAACATCTGGCACTGTGCCCATGCCCAGGCCCTGGTGGGGATGTTTCTCTGGAGACAGTGCACATGTCAACAACCAAAGGCACTGCTGTTTTCATAAGTAAGACAGCCAGAGAGTCAGGCAGGAGCGTCTGCCTGGCCCCCTCTGTGGGGTCTAGGGCAGAGTGAGAGGTTTGAGTTCATTGCCCAAGGGGCCAGATACTAACCTGCCCCACCTCTCCCCTCCCACCTCGTTTCTCAGCCATGGCAGAGAACCCACTGTCCACTCTGAAAATGCTCCTCCAAGGAGAAGGTTTCTACAGAAACCGCTGCCCTGCAGAGCACAGCCTTGAGATTTCTTGAATCTTTCATGTGTTGATCCTGTCCTGCCTGCCTGGGGCTCTTCTGTAAGCCCTGACTCCTTTTTGCCTTCTTGTTTCAGAGGGAGCAGCCTGTGGACAGAGCCCAGAGGACAGAGCCAAAACCCTAGCCGAGATGAAGCTGATCCTGCAGACAGTTGGTTTCCCCTGGCACATTGTTGCCTTAGAAGAGGTGAGTAGCCCACCCCTGAAAGGGCCCATTGAAGTGCCCACTGAGATGTTCACAAGGGGTGCATTCCCACATGTTGGGGCCAGGCTGCGGGCCTCTTGCCTGGGCCTCTTCCTCAGTATGTACAGAGCTGGGCCTGGGCTTCACACAACTTCCTCCACCTTTTTTGCCCTGCAAGGTGTTCAGCCTGCCACCATCTGTGCTTCGCTGCTTTGCCCAGGAGCCCTCAGGGACCAAGGGAGCCTACAAGGCAGCTGTGGACAGTTTCCTCCAGCAGCAGCATGCACCAGCCCAGGGGCAGGAGCAGCAGAGCCAACCTGGCACTGAGGAACTCCAGAGTCCAGCTGTGTTACCCACAACTGTCCAGACCAAGGCTCAGCCACACATAGCTTCCCAGACAGAGGCTCATCTACCCACAACTGCCCAGACTGAGGCTCTATCTAGACTGTTTGACTCAGTGAAGACACTGACAGCCAAGGAGGAACTTCTGCAGACCCTGCGGTGAGCTCCCCTTACCCTCAGGTCCTGGCCTGCCCTACCTGTGTCTGAGATCCCCTGTCCTGCTCTGCAGGACCCACTTGATCCTGCATGTGGCCCGGACCCATGGCTACTCCAAGGTGATGATGGGGGACAGCTGCACCCGCCTGGCCATCAAGCTCATGACTAGCCTGGCCCTGGGGAGAGGGGCATTCCTGGCCTGGGACACGGTACTCATGGGGCAGGCAACCCTGGGACCCCTCTCTCCCTCACCCCTTGGGCCCCTTCACTTGAAAGTAGTGTCTTGTGAATCAGTCTTGGGGTCTCCCTCGTGGAGGGAGGAGCCTATAAACCCCCAGCTGGCAGGGAAGGAGGGGGACTGAGCCTATCAGCTGGGTGCAGTGAAGAGCATCCCCCCCTCCAGGGCTTCTCTGACGAGCGGCATGGCGACGTGGTGGTGGTGCGGCCTATGCGTGATCACACACTGAAGGAGATTGCCTTCTACAACCGCCTGTTTGCTATCCCCTCTGTCTTCACACCGGCCATCGACACCAAGGTAACCTGCAGGGACAGGGCAGAGGTCGCCGGCACATTTTGGGTGGTGGCCTAAGCTATGTCCACACCAGCCCTCTGGCCTCAGTGCTTGCTACCTGGTGCCATAGCGGAGTCCCTGTGTCCCCCAGCATCCTCAGAGCAAATACAGGGCATCCCTTTGAGTTGGAGAACAATCTGCTGCTCTCTGGGAAAGGGCTCATTAGGAGAGGAAGTTGTCACCCACTGGTGCCCCTGTCCCTGGGAATGCAAGGTGCCCAACTAGGGGGTCATGGACAGGGAGGGGATGATGGAGGGGCAGGATAAGCTTTGTCAGAGACACTTATATTTTTTTATATACGGAATTTTAAATAATGGCTGTTTTTAGCTACAAGGACACTGTAGAAGTGTGTGCCTGGTTCGCTCCAGTCCTAACATGGCAGACTCGGGAGCTGACAGTGTGGAGAACTCTATGGGCCCCACTCTAGGTGGCCCCTTGGCCAGGCCTGAGGGCTGCTCCTCTGCACCAGGGCCACTCCTGCAGCCCCCCCATCTGATTGTCCCTAGGCCCCCGAAAAGGCCAGCATCCACCGGCTTATGGAAGCCTTCATGCTCAGGCTGCAGGCCCAGTTCCCTTCCACGATCAGCACGGTGTACAGGTGTGTGTATTTGTGCCCGTGGAGTCGGGGTGGGGGGTGGGCACTGAGCTCACCACCCTGGGGCTCAGACCAGGGCAGGAGCAAGCCCTGGTTAACTGGTGGTGCGTCTGTGTCCTGTCCTCACGCTGCCAGAACGAGTGAGAAGCTGGTCAAGGCCCCCAGGGAAGGCAGTGCTGGTGACTCCCCAGGCCCCCGTTGCCTGCTCTGCATGTGTACACTGGACATCGACACTGCTGGTCTGTACTTCATCTCCTCGGGTGCTTGGGTGGAGAGGGAGGGGTACCAGTGAGTGGGTGCTGGGGTTCAGCAGTCACAAGGTCCCTTCAACTCATTTCTGTTTGCAGATAGTGCCACAGCTTTTGGGGCCCAGACCTCACATCTCTCCCAGATGCAGCCCCCCACCCCACCAGCTGGGACGCCCACAGCACCCTGCTGCTCTGCAGAGGTGGGCAGGGCCCAGGGCTGCTGCCAGGGGGCTGGGCCCTGTGGGAGGTGAGTCCTTTCCCTGACCCATCCCACCCCATGCCACCCTATGGCTGGTCCCTTATAGCTACACAGAGGGTGGCAGTACACCTGGGATTAAGCCCTCGGGCCCTGCATTGAGGGGGCCGAGACCAGGCACACAGGTCCAGCTCTGCTCTCACAGGGAGGACTCTCGAGCCCTTGTCATCGAGCAGCTGTGCTACGGGTGCCGTGTGAACATGAAGGACTTGGTGAGTGGATGCCTGCCTTATGATGGGTGAGGGTTAAGTGGGCAGGTTGGCACTGGCTTAGCTTTGTGCCACGCAGCCTGTTGCCCATGCCAGTTCTCTTTTGCAGCCGTCCCTGGACCCCCTGCCACCCTACATCCTGACCGAGGCCCAGCTCCGTAGCCAGAGGTACTGGTACTCACTGTGCTGGGAGCCCTGGGATGGGGTCCTTCTAGGCCTGAGCACCTTTGGGCTGATTCCCACTGTGTGGCTTCCTCCAGAGCCTGGGTCTTACGGGAGATGCAAGAGTATCTGGTTGAGGACAGTGACGATGAGGCACAGACCGATGAGAGCTGAGCCTAAGAATGGACACCTAGGACCACCCTGCCAGGACCTCTGCCATGCTGGAGCAGGACAGCAAGGACGGAAAGGCGACATATCCGTTTGTATAAATAAAAATGTTTTTAATTAAAAAACTCTACAGTACGCGTGGGGAAAGGAGGGCCGGGGCCCCTGACCCAGTGTCTCTGGCACTGGGCCCAGCAGGGACGACGGAAAGGGACAGCAGTCCTGTGCTGGGCCATGGAGGGGCCACAGCTTCCTTCTGACAGCAGCATCAAGGCTCAGTGGGCCAGGAGGACCTGTCACAGCTGGTGGCCTCAGAGTGGGTTATCTGCTTCTGTGGCCTGAGGAGCACTGTCCTTCCTGCTAGGCCGGCTCCTTCATTCACGGTGCTCAAGGAGCCTGGCCCCTACTCCTTCTCGCGGGTCCACTTGATCATGGTCTCCGGTGAGCGGTATAGGAAGATAAGCTTGGCATATAGCTCCTCTTCCAGCTCCAGCTCCCGGGTCTCCCGCACCAGGAAGATGTCCTGGCAGAGCTTGAGAATTCGGTCCACACACGGCAGCTCCTCGAACATGATGGAGTGAGAGATCTCACTGAAGAAGCCACGTACAAACTTCCCGATGACCAGCACGATGGACACATAGAGCCCCATGATCCTGCAGGCAGGGGCAGGTGAGTTCTGGGGGCTGCTGCCCATAGCCACACCCCAGCCCCCCCATCACCGCACACTCACCCGTAGCCAGCCAGGAAGCCTAGGCTCGGTGGGCTGACCTTGTCATTGAAGATGACCATGGGCAGCAGGTTGCATTCAGCCTGGCAGTTCTCTAGCTCAATGACCCACCACTCAAGGAAGCCAGAAGCCCCGGAACCCACACGCTCCCTCCGCAGCTGGATGCGTACACCGAGGTAGTCAGCCTCCTCATCTGGGTCAGAGCCATGAGACAGTAAGGGCCACCACCCTCTTCCAGGGCAGAGGCCATGGCCCAGCACCCCCCTCCCCCAAACACACTCACTGGGCTGCAGCTGCTTCACGGGGTTGGCTTCAGGCCCGTTGGGGGCACGGATGTACTTGGGGAAGAGGTTAGGGATAACCCTGTGGGGAGGAGTCCAGTAGATCAGCTCTGGCCCAGCCTTCCTGGTGCCCCCAGGCCCCCTGGTCCCCACTCACACTGACTGGTCCGAGGTGCCCTCCAATAGGCTGGCCAGTTGCCGCCGCTCAGTACTATTGGGGGCCAAGTCCAGGGTATGCTTCTCATTGGTGTACTCTACAGTGCCTCCCTTGGCCAGGTCCCTGCAGGCAAGGGTACAGTGTGACCCACCAAGGAGTGCATCCCATCCAGGCCCCACCCAAGCCCAGAACATTACCTTTGGAAGTTCCAGGTGAAGCGCACGGTAATGTCGGCAGTGCCATTGTACAGCTCCCGCTTCATCTGGGCCCGGCTTGGTGGGCTGATGCGCCACAGGGCCCCAGAGCTGCCTTCAATCTGTGCTGTGACGATGTCCTCAGGGCTGTACTGGCTGATGAACTGCATGGCCAGCTGGGCACAGGACGGCATTTCAGTGGGGTGAGGCCAGGCTACCCCTCCCCCCAAGCTGTCCCTTCCCCTGCCAGGCAGATGTAGCGTGAGGGCTGCTTACCGGGTGGGGGTCAAACTGCCTGGACAGCTCCTCATAGGCCTGGTGTGTGAAGGGCACGATGGATGGCTGCTGGGCACTCATGGTGAACAGAGGCTGGGGGTGGAAACGGTGACGTGGTGCTGGGGGAGCCTCCCTTGAACCCCCAGGTTGCCAGCACCCAGGCCAAGCTCTGCATAGTCCATGAGGACAGGAAAGTGGAGGAGTGGGAATTGGGGCTGCCTGGCCAGAGTCCTCTGTGCGGGCAGAGCATGCACCTGCACTGCTTCCCTTGGCTGGAGTAGAAGGTGGCTGCTCACCTCGTAGCCACCCAGCTTGAGAGTGACGGTGACATCTATGGGCTGATTGACAACTCCGACAACGGAGCGCACCAGAGACATGAAGAGCAGCGGGAACCAGATGATGCCCACAAGGAAGATGATTATAAGGCCGCCCATGCCATACTTAACAATCTTCTTCTTCTTCTGCCCCTTGGGCTGTGGGTATTTCTGGTGGAGGGGGCAGGGTACAGGTCAACTGCTCAGCTCTGCCCTCCCACTGCCCTGCCTTGTGCAGGCCTCCATCCCTGCTCTCTGGCCACAAGTGCGGTCTCAGACCCCTCCCTGCTGCTCTGAGCTGTCCTCCACACCCCAACACTTCCATCCTCAAGGCCATGGTCTTGGACTCATCCAGTGGGCCCAAAAAGTCAAACTTTGATTGAACATCCAAACTGACTGCAGAGCTATAGCAGCTAAGATTGGTGCTACACAGGACAGACAGATCAATGGAAAGACAGTCCAAAAACAAACCCACAGGTAGAGACAGGTGCCAACCACTCAGTGGGGAAAAGGCAGTCTTTTCGACAAATGGTGCTGGGACAGCTAGACATCCACATGCAAAAGAATAAAGGCAGACCCTTACACTGCATAAAAAAATTAAGACCTAAGTCAAACTCTTAAGGGCAAATCTTTGTACCTTATATTTGGCTAAAAATCCTCAGATCTAACACCAAAAGCACAAACAAAAAAATTAAACTAGGCATTATGCAAAATAGACTTGTGCTTCAGAGGACACCATCAAAAAAGTAAAATGACAACCCACAGATTTGGGGAAAATACTTGCAAGCTGTATATCTGATAGAGTCTGGTGTCTAGAATATTTATGGAACCCTCAACTCAATAAAAGGTATAGATGTACCACCTTTTGTTTATCCAACAGCTGCTTAACCCAAGGAAAAAATAGACAGAGTCTCCGAACAGACATTTCTCTGAAAGACAGACATGGCCAATAAGCTCTAGAAAAGATGCTTATCGTTAGCCAATAGGGAAATGCAAATCTAAACCATAAGGATGGGTAAAAAAAGTCAATGACAAGTGTTGACAAGGATGTGGAAGAGATTGGCGGGACTGAAATGGTACAGTCACCATGGAAAACAGCTCCTTGAGAGTGAAACCTAGAGTTACCTCATGACCCAGCAATGCCACTCCTGTGTGTCTACCCGGAAGAAATGGAAACTGGTGTGTCCACAATCTTATATGTGAGTATATATAACAGCACTTTCAATAATAACAAACCCAAATATCCATTGCCATTTGGAACTGTTGGATAAACAAAAGGTAACATGAGCCCTAACCCTAACCACAGACCAAGCCCTAGCCCTAGCCCTAAATGTAACCCTAGACCAGGGGTGGGGAACGTCCTGGCCTTAACAAAGCAACCGCAGGCGGGACTCGAAATTCACTAAGTCCAGGAGCTTGCTTCATAGCTAATTTTTAAGTTGATAATTTTGTATGACCTGCGAACGATGTTATAAATATCCAATGGCCCTTGGCAGAGAAAACATTCCCCACCCCTGCCCTAGGCTTAGCTCTAACTCCCTAGCCATAGCCCAAGCCCTAACCCTAATATTTTACCTAGCCATAACCCTACTCCAAACCCTAAAAATAACCCTGTCCCTATCCATAACCCTAACAACAAAAAGAACACTTCAGCCATAAAAAGAAAAATTCTGACACATACTACAACATGGATAAACCTTGATCGTCTGAGTGAAAGCCAGTCACAAAAGACCACGCATCATGTGATTTCATTTATATAGAATGCCTAGGACAGGCAAATCTATATAAAAGTAGGTGGTGGCTGCCAGGAGCTGGGCAATGAGGGGAATGGAAAGTGACTGCTAATGGGAATAGGGTTTCTTTTAGTGATGAGCATTTTCTAAAATTGTGATGGTTACACAACTCTAAATATACTAGAATCCACCAAATTGTACACTTTTATGTATGAATTCTCTCTCAATAAAACTGCTAAAAAAGAACAAAAATTCAGCTAACATTATGGCCAGGCCTCTTCCACAGAGCAATTTGCTCGGGCCGCTCTGCCAACTGCCTGCCCCTAACAGGGTCTAGTTCACTACCCCTCTCTAAGAAGCTCCTCCTGGCTGCCAGGAAGAGTTGTAGAAATGCTCTCTTGTCCACAGTGGCTTTCTGGCCTCATGTTGCCATGGCTGTGAGCCCAGGGAGGGGCCACCAGTGTTGTCTGGTTCTCGCAGTGCCCATCTGCCCCAATGGGGAGTGACCAGTGTCCCCTCTCCACTCCCGCCTTGCACCCAGGCACCTTTTCTGTCTCTCGGCTGCACTTGATGATGAAGATGTTGGCATAGATGTCCTCCACGCACATCCAATTGGACAAGGACAGCGTGGTGTCTGTCCATACCCAGTCCATCACAGCCCGCAGCTCCACCAGGAATGGCACCAGCCGGAACCTGCTCGAGACCAGGGGACCCATCAGGAGGAGCTGAGGGGGGCAGCCTTGACCCCACCCATGGACCAACCCACACTCACCCCTGGAAGAGGAAGAGGTTGAGGTGGTTGTATTTCTTGGTGAGGAAGTTGCCAAGGATGCGGGTGGGGTAGCCGCAGCGGATCTGGTAGGCAGACAGGGCGAAGTAGATGCACTTCACAAAGTACCACAGCTGGGCCACTGCATTCTGGCTGAACATCCTAGATGGGACAGGAAGCCCGGATCAGGGCACCCCACCCGAGTCCAGGAGCTGGAGCTCCAAGGGCCCTGGATCCAACTGCAGCTCTGCCAGGCACCACAAAGTATGTCTCTGCAGGTTGGGCCTGACCCCCTAGCACCCACCTCTCAGTGACAGCGGGCAGGATGAAGAACATCCAGAAGTGGATGGCCAGCACCAGAACGACCTGGAAGGCCAGCTTGCCCAGCACGGTCTTGCGCAGGTAGAGGGCACGGTCGATGACCATAGTGCTAAACTGGATCAGCAGCATGACCAGGAAGGCCTCAGGTACCTGGTCATCCGACAGGGAGGACGTGATGTCCGTAGCCGCTGAATGCTTCTGTGGCCAGGAAAGGAAAAGTCAGGGAGAGCTGGGGTGGCCCTTGGGCTCTGTGTCCATTGGGGGCCCTGAGCCCAGCTCACCCCAAAGGCCCAGAAGCCAAAGATGATAATGATGAAGTCGACCACATCAGCCAGGAACATGAGGGCGTAGACGTCAGTGGCTGCGCGGTACTTGGTGTGCAGGATGTCGTGGAAGAAACGCCGCAGGGGCCGGTACATACTCTGGGCCCTGCGGGCAGGCGGAAGGGAGCTCAGCTTAGTACCACCTTGGTTGCTCCCTCCCATGCCTCCCCTAGGCCACTCCCAGGATGGTCACTCACAGGGACAGGCAGAAGGTCTGCAGCCAGATGCCCACCGCCCTCACTTTTTCCTGGGGACGACTCCGCTTCTTTTCTCTCCGAGAGGTGGCTGTTGCCTCCTCCCCGTCGTCCTCAGTCTCGGCTTCTGTGGGGGAGCAGTTGCCGCTGATGGACTGGGGCCTAGCTCAGCACCTGACCGTCCTGAGAGCCCCCCAAGGGGCTGCCATCACCCCATTTCACAGACCAGCAAACTAAGCACAGAGCCCTTCCAGCATCACCAGCAGTGGGCCAGCTAGAGCGGCATCCTCTGGACACAGAGGGTGTGGCTGGAACGTGGCGGGGGTGGTGACTCCACCATGAGAGCTGGGTGGGCTGGGTGGTTGTGGATAGACAGGGACATGTACCAGTGGCTGCCGGTCCTCTGGGTTCTGCAGCCTCCTTCGTTCTCCTCCTGAAACGCAGACTGATGCGCCTCGCGTCGCTGGGCTGGAGCTCCACTTGCGGCTCTGGGGGCGCATCCCTCACTTCCACTTGGATGTCATCGTTGGTGGTGGCCCCAGCCGTCCCCAGCTCCTCCTGGGGTCCTGTGCCCTCCTCGGTCTGGAGTCCCGGCGGGGCTGGCTCCTCCTCAGGCTCCTCCTCCTTCCCACGCCCACCATCAGGCTCCCTGGAAAGCGGGTCCTCCTCGTGGTCCCAGAGGCCATAGCACTGCGGGGAAGGACGGAGGGCGGTGGGGAGGCAGGCGTGGCCACAGGGGGGTAGCGCTTGGACCAGGCGAAAGGGCCAGGCCCACCCGGGGCCCACAGCATCCAGCTCCGCCTCCTGGAACACGACGGCTGAGTGCCCACCTGCTGCCCGCCTCCCCTGGCACCCGGCACTCACCAGCAGCTGGGAACGGTGGAAGAAGAGGGCCATGAGCTGTACCAGGTCGTACTTGATGTAGCCGTCGGTCTTCTCCAGGCCCAGGATACGCGGCGGGAAGTAGGGCTTGTTCTCGTAGCGCCGCAGCACTGTGTGGCTGTTCCAGGGGAAGAAGCCAAACTGGAACAGGTACTTGGTGACCACCGTGACCTGTGGGGCGGGGGGACTCAGCACGGCAGGGCCAGACCCCAGCCCCGGCCCCCACTCCCGCTCCCCGGGCCGCCGCCCACCTCAGTGAAGACGATGGCCGTCATCCAGAAGCGCTTGCTGGGCCGCGGGATGGACAGCATGGCCCACAAGAAGACCAGCACGGGCAGCACGAGGGAGGCGGCCGAGGCGGTGACCATGTGGTTGAGGACGATGATGAAGTAGCAGAGCAGCTCCGAGTGGGCGGCCACGCACTGGTACACGGCCTGCAGCAGCCGCAGCGCCCGGCCCTGCCCGGCCTCGAACTGCTCGGCCTCCTCCAGCTCTGGGATGCGCAGGCACCTGCACGGACCGTGCTCAGGGAGGCCCGGCCCCGCCAGGCCCACCTCCCGCGGCCCCACCAGCTGCCCCCAGCTCGCACCTGTCAAGCAGCAGCTCGCTGGCCGTGCGCATCCGTGTCCGAGTGCTACCGGGAAGCTCTCGGGAGCCGTGCAGGGAAGCCCCGGGCTCGGTGACCATCTCTTCACTGCCACTGCGGGTGTTGTAGCCGGTGCTCAGGGGGCTGCTGGCGTCTTCGGGCGTACTGCTTATCGGGTCCTCAGCCCCCAGCCCGCTGTGGGAGGGGAGGCTGGTCACAGAGACGGTGGGAGGGCCTCAAGGTCCCGGGTAGACGGGGGCTGGGAGGCTATGTGCCCGAGCATAGCCGCTGGGGTGGCCCTGGCTCTGGGCCAGAGAACAGGCCAGGTGGGGTGCGTCCTGGACCTCACCCGAGTCCCTGGGGCCCCTACGCACCTCGAGGCTGTGCTAGGCATGTCACGTGCCTCTGAGGGGCCTGTTGGCGCGGCCTCGGCTTCATTTGAGTACAGCTGGTCCAGCACGCCCCTGTGCACCTGTCCACCCTGCAGGGTACGTGAGGGGGATTAGGGCAGGAGAGGTGGTCCTAGCGCTGCTCCAGCCCCCAGGGTGGGAGAGGCGGGGGTGGGGCGGGCACAGAAGCAGGAGCACGGCAGGGCACGGTGGGGCGGGGGTGGTGAGGTCGGTCCGGCAGCACTCACCCGGAGCAGCTCCTGGGTGAGCAGGTAGCGCTCAGCGCACAGCACGTCACTCATGGCGCGGTGGTGCCGCGTGAAGGTGCGCAGCCAGCGCGTCAGCCCGTCCACCAGCGCCTGCCCCAGCACCCACAGGAACTGCAAGGTGCTCAGCACCCGCTGCATCACATGGCTGCGGCCTGCGGGGAGGGGGACTGGCTGGAGGGCCCTGGAGGGGCAGCCAGCGGGAGGAGCCCAACCCCCAACCCCCGGGGCCCACGCACCTGCCACCTCGTTCTCTGGGCCCTCTGCCAAGTCCGCCTCTGGGCCCTGGCCGCCTCCTGGGCATAGGGGTGGTGGTCAGCGCCTCGCCGCCCTGCTTCCCCGCCCTCCACCCACACTCAGCCCGACTCACCCACACGCAGCTGAGCCTGCTCTTGCCGCCGCCGCCGCAGCACCGTCTGGGCGTTGGTCACCCATGCCTGGTATGCCATCTGCAGGACAGGGCCTTGGGATTAGCACCCTGTCTCCCAGGCCAACCTCTGAGCTCCTGAGGAGGAGCCAAGGGTCAGCCCAGCGGGGGACCTTCAGCCTGAGCCTGGGCAGGAAGCGGGCACCATGGGACCGTTGAGGGAGGACAGGGCAGTTCACCCAGCCCACCCAGCGCATCACGGTTCCCACTCAGCACCCAGGCCCCATGCTAGAAACAGGGACCCAAAGGTGGACAAGACGCTCCTGGCTCAGAAGACAGAAGTGTGACCAGCAAACACAATGAGCCCTTCTTGGAGGCCAGGCCATCGGTGGCCACCACAGGCCTGGGTGGGCAGAGTTGGGACCTCAGGAGCAGGTGCGCTGCCCATGACCTCTGGCGCCCACAGACTGCTGTCCCATCTGACTTGTAGACCTGGGGGGTCTGGATTGGGCGGGGCAGGCTCCCCAGGCCCTGGGGGCATCTGTCTTTCCTGTGCTGGCCTGGCCCAGGGGCTCCATCAGCAGGGAAGGCGGGCGGGGGACCTCCGCCCTCACCTGGAAGGCACTCTGCGCCGACGGCCTGGGGTCCTCAGGCTGGGCCTCTTCCTCCTCCTCACTGTCCGACTCGAACAGGAAGTAGTCTCCGGAGTGGATGACTGTGGGCAGGGTGGGGCTGAGAGCTGGCCTCCCCCACATGGGGTCGGGCTCTGCGAGACCCTCAAGCTCATGGGTTCGGGGGGCCCAGTAACAGGCCTGGCTGTGCTGCCCCGCTTGGGTTCCCTTAGCAGCCCCTGACCCCATGGGCCAAGGCCCGCATGCCATCCTCCCCCCAAGGGACAGCCACGGTGGCTGGAGGCAGGGAGCAGCAGGCTGGAGAACAGAGGCGCATGCACAGGACACAGGCCAGACCCATGGGACGAGACCAGACTGGACGAGAGGAACAAAGGAGCAGGGCCAGGAAAGCAGAGAGGCTGTGAGTGGCGGTGATGATTCAGACTTCCGAACCCCGAGTTAGAAAAACGCGGAGCCTTTAGTGGGGGGCCCAGCTGAATTGAGACCCAGCCCCTTATTACTGCACGGCTGGAATGAAGCCTGTACACAGGCTGGAGGTCCGCACCGGCAAGCTCTGTCCACCCCAAAGGCAGACAGCAACTGAGGGGGGGAGGGTACCCAGCACACAGCAGCTTGAGAGTGGTCATGGCAGCCAGGTTGGGGTGGTACCTGTGGCGTGGTCCAGCCAGGGCCGCCACCACTGTCTCCGTGGCGGGGAGGAGCCCCCTGGACTGCCGGGCCCTGTGAAGGGGAGGGGGTGGCAAGCATGAGCCAGCGGGGAGACATGGAGAATGAGGGTGGCCCCTCAGCAAAGAGAGACACAGAGCCCCTTCAGTGACGAGCACCCTCTCATGGTGCTAAGGGCGTGGGGGACAGCCCACAAGTGCAGATGGACAGTCACTGGCAGGCTGTGTGGCCTACAGGGAGGGACAGAGAGTGACCACATGGCACAGGACAGATGGGCTGGAAGCCCTGTGTGACGTCACGTGGCACAGACATGGCCAGGCTCCAGCAGCACAGATAACACCAGTGCTCAGGGGCCCTTGAGGCTCCATCCACTCACCTGGCTCCTGGTCCGGGTCCAGGGGTTCCTGGGGGTGGCTGAGGGCCACCCGGCCCTGCCTGTACTTTTCCTGCTTGGCACGGATACGTTCCATCCTGTGGGAGGCAGACAACTCTGAGCATCTAGCCAGACAGGAAAACACCCCCACACCCATCCTGGCCCCCAGACGGCACCTACTGTCTTTTCAGCTGGGCCAGGGACTTCTCCTCGACCTTGCGGTGGTAGTCAATGCTTTTGAGGTTGGCAGCGTTGTACAGGTCGAAGCCCCTGCGGGGAGGTTAGTAGGGCCAGGGGTGCCGAGCTCTAGCTGCACAAGCTCCCCCTACTCTGAGCTTAGGCCACTCACCCAGCCCCTGGCCTAGCCTAGCTGCCCAGGTCTTCCCTGCCCACAGGGCTAGCTCTCCAACATGACACCCTGATCTGTGCTGCAGTGAGAGGGAGGGGACCCCTCCTGCAACCTCCAGTCTCATGGGGCAAAAAACATGCAAATAAAGAGGCGGCCGTGGGAGCCGTAGAGGCCGGGGACAGGGAGATTGGCTGGCTCACTGGCCAGGCGCAGGGGGAGGGGGGAGGCCCTCTGGTGGGGTGCACCTCAGGCCAGCATGGGGGCAATAATAGGACTGAAACGCCAGCCCACGCAGAGCCAGGGCTGAGACCACATGACGTGGTGGACATTGTACACTTAGGCTCCTGAAGAGGTGCTAATGACCCGTGGTCCTCAGTTCTCACTCTAGGAGACATGTCACATCAGGGAATAGTGCCCTATCCTAGATGGGCCCAAGAGATCCAAGGCGGGGCCAACCTGGAGGCCTGGAAAGCAGTGGCCTGGAGCTCGGCCCTGACGTGCTGGAAGTAGTAGCTGAGGAAGACACGGCGCTGCAGCAGCAAGAACAGGAAACAGACGCTGTCCCAGAGGACACCGGCCTCCTCCACGGGCAGCAGGCAGTCCTGGTCCCTGCCCAGCATCTCCTTGGCTGTGGGACAGGTGCCGGCACAGGTTAGGGGTATGATCAGGGTCAGGAACACAGGTGGGGTCAGGGGTGCAGGTCAGGGGTTGGGGACCTGAGTCAGAGGCAGGGGTCAAGCACATTTGTTCGGGGTTAGTAACAGGATGCAAGTCAAGGACATGGGGCAAGAGCACGGGGAATGGATAGGGGTCTGAGTCCCTGAAACAGTGTGTGTCCCTGACACCCTCAGCCACCTGCCCTCTGCCACTCACGGTCATAGTAGCCTTTGACGGTGCACACGAGGCTGAACAGCTGGATGACCCAGCAGAAGCTGCTCTGCATTTGCTCCACGAAGACACAGGACAGGAGCTAGGGGTGGAAGGAGGGTCAGCGAGGCTATGAGGCTGGGGCTGGGGCTGGGGCTGGGGCTGGGCCTG